AGTTGTAGGGTCCACCTCTGTTAGGCCATAGAGTCCACCTCTATTCGGTTATAGGGTCCACCTCTGTTCGGTTGTAGGGTCCACTTCTGTGTGGTTGTCGGGTCCATCTCTATGTGGTTGTAGGGTCCACCTCTGTTCGATTGTAGGGTCCACCTCTGTTCGGCTGTAGGGTCCACCTCTGTTCGATTGTAGGGTCCACCTCTATTCGGCTGTAGGGTCCACCTCTGTTCGGCTGTAGGGTCCACCTCTGTTCGGCTGTAGGGTCCACCTCTGTTCGGCTGTAGAGTCCACCTCTGTTCGGCTGTAGAGTCCACCTCTGTTCGGCTGTAGAGTCCACCTCTGTTCGGCTGTAGGGTCCACCTCTGTTCGGCTGTAGGGTCCACCTCTGTTTGGCTGTAGAGTCCACCTCTGTTCGGCTGTAGAGTCCACCTCTGTTCGGTTGTAGGGTCCATTTCTGTGGTTGTAGGGTCCACCTCTATTCGGCTGTAGGGTCCACCTCTGTTCGGCTGTAGGGTCCACCTCTGTTCGGCTGTAGGGTCCACCTCTGTTCGGCTGTAGAGTCCACCTCTGTTCGTGTAGGGTCCACCTCGTTCGGCTAAGTCCACCTCTGTTCGGCTGTAGGGTCCACCTCTGTTCGGCTGTAGAGTCCACCTCTGTTCGGCTGGAGGGTCCACCTCTGTTCGGCTGTAGAGTCCACCTCTGTTCGGCTGTAGAGTCCACCTCTGTTCAGCTGTAGAGTCCACCTCTGTTCGGTTGTAGGGTCTATTTCTGTGGTTGTAGGGTCCACCTCTGTTTGGCTGTAGGGTCCACCTCTGTTTGGCTGTAGAGTCCACCTCTGTTCGGTTGTAGGGTCTATTTCTGTGGTTGTAGGGTCTATTTCTGTGGTTGTAGGGTCCACCTCTGTTCGGCTGTAGAGTCCACCTCTGTTCAGATGTAGGGTCCACCTCTGTTCGGCTGTAGAGTCCACCTCTGTTCGGCTAAAGGGTCCACCTCTGTTCGGCTGTAGGGTCCACCTCTGTTCGGCTGTAGGGTCCACCTCTGTTCGGCTGTAGAGTCCACCTCTGTTCGGCTGTAGAGTCCACCTCTGTTCAGCTGTAGGGTCCACCTCTGTTCAGCTGTAGAGTCCACCTCTGTTCGGCTGTAGGGTCCACCTCTGTTCAGCTGTAGGGTCCACCTCTGTTCGGCTGTATTGTCCACCTCTGTTCGGCTAAAGGGTCCACCTCTGTTCGGCTAAAGGGTCCACCTCTGTTCGGCTGTAGGGTCCACCTCTGTTCGGCTGTAGGGTCCACCTCTGTTCGATTGTAGGGTCCACCTCTGTTCGGCTGTAGGGTCCACCTCTGTTCGGCTGTAGGGTCCACCTCTGTTCGGCTGTAGGGTCCACCTCTGTTCGGCTGTAGGGTCCACCTCTGTTCGGCTGTAGAGTCCACCTCTGTTCGGCTGAAAGGGTCCACCTCTGTTCGGCTGTAGAGTCCACCTCTGTTCAGTTGTGGATTACATGGTTTGCTCGGAGTGATCCTGAGCGATCCTAAGCGATCCTGACTCACTCATTTCAGCCAGAAAGTCAGTCAAACTTCACATATAAACAGAAGATTAGATTTTAAATGAACTTGTAATTCTGACTTTGTTTCATCTTGAGACGTAGCCTTCAACTTTAACTTTTGTTTACTGTTATATGAATGCAAAATGACTGTGTATGTATACATATATTCACTCACTGAGCACTTTATTAGGTGCACCTACTTTCTATCTACAGTTACTGCCCATTTCATCAGCACCACTTACCATGTAGTCCATCTGTTTCTCTGCAAACTTTGTTAGACCCCTTTCACCCTGTTCTTCAATGGTCAGGACCCCCATGGACCATCATAGAGCAGGTATTATTTGGGGGGGGGGGTCATTCTCAGCACTGCAGTGACACTGACCTGGTGGTGGCGTGTTAGTGTGTGTTGCGCTGGTGTGAGTGGATCAGACACAGCAGTGCTGCTGGAGTCTTTAAACACGATGTCCACTCACTGTCCACTCTATTTGGTGGACTATTCTCAGTCCAGCAGTGACACTGAGGTGTTTAAAAACTCCTCTCCTTTTCATTCTCTCTCTTTCATACTGTCTTTCTTTCTCTCTTCCTCTGTTTCTCTTTTGTCTTTAACTGTCTTCTCTCTCTCTCTCTATTAGTCTCTCTCTCTCTCTCTCTCTCTCTCTCTCTCTCACTCTGTATGCTAATTGAATTCAGTGTTGAGAGCCTGTTCTCTGTTATGTAACTGATGGCTCCACTCTTAATGTGGGTTTTAACTTCGAGTGGCAGCTCTTGTCCTGCTACTGTCTGCTTTGATGCTGTACAGCGACCACCATACTGTATTATACTCACTGATCTACTACTACTGTCTGCTTTGATGCTGTACAGCGTACTGCATACTGTACTATACTCACTGATCTACTACTACTGTCTGCTTTGATGCTGTACAGCGTACTGCATACTGTACTATACTCACTGATCTACTGCTACTGTCTGCTTTGATGCTGTACAGCGTACTGCATACTGTACTATACTCACTGATCTACTGCTACTGTCTGCTTTGATGCTGTACAGCGTACTGCATACTCTACTATACTCACTGATCTACTACTACTGTCTGCTTTGATGCTGTACAGCATACTGCATACTGTACTATACTCACTGATCTACTACTACTGTCTGCTTTGATGCTGTACAGCGTACTGCATACTGTACTATACTCACTGATCTACTGCTACTGTCTGCTTTGATGCTCTACAGCATACTGCACACTGTACTATACTCACTGATCTACTGCTACTGTCTGCTTTGATGTTCTACAGCATACTGCACACTGTACTATAGTCACCGATCTACTGCTACTGTCTGCTTTGATGCTCTACAGCGTACTGCACACTGTACTATACTCACTGATCTACTGCTACTGTCTGCTTTAATGCTTCTACAGCGTACTGCACACTGTACTATACTCACTGATCCACTGCTACTGTCTGCTTTAATGCTCTACAGCGTACTGCACACTGTACTATACTCACTGATCCACTGCTACTGTCTGCTTTAATGCTCTACAGCGTACTGCACACTGTACTATACTCACTGATCCACTGCTACTGTCTGCTTTAATGCTCTAGAGTGTACTCATTACTGTACTATACTCACTGATCCACTGCTACTGTCTGCTTTAGAGCTCTAGAGTGTACACATTACTGTACTATACTCACTGATCCACTTCTACTGCCTGCTTGTGTGCTGTACAGTGTTCTGCACACTGTACTATACTCACTGATCTTATGCTGCTGTCTGCTTTAATGCATTACAGTGTACTCCATACTGTACTATACTCACTGATCTTCTGCTGCTGTCTGCTTTAACACTACAGCGTACTTCTTTGCTTTTAATACTTCATTCAGTATTATATTTCACTGGGCTATACTATACAACACCATAGTATACTGTAATGTACTATAATATTACTATTAATATTATTATTTTCATTTTGATTTTACTATATTATATTATTTTACAGCAGTACTACATTACACTGCACTGCGCAATACTGTATGCTACTTCACTATGTTCCTCAGTTTCTTCTTTCTCTCTCTCTCTCTCCTCTCTCTCTCTCTCTCTCTCTGAATATCAGAATGAACAATTTGCATATTCAATTGAGCATGAAAGAAATCACACACACACACACACACACACACACACACACACACACACACACACACACTGTCAGTGTGTTATGTTTTCATGTTTTCACTCAGGCACACACTCCCCACTTTGTGTCTGAGCTGTATGAGCCCGTTCATTGCTATGCTGTAACATGATGCATATTCCAGTCCCTCATTAGCATACGTAATTAGGTCAGTTAACTCAGGAGCTCGTTCATGAACGTTATGCAAATTCACCGACACATACTTTGCGTCATGGTGTCATTTATAGTTTGGCTGTTGCCAAGAGGAAGGAGTCTGCTTTGTATTCATCAGCTTTGTGTGTGTGTGTGTGTGTGTGTGTGTGTGTGTGTACACTTACTGTCTTTCTGTTCAGTTCAGGTATCTATTCTGTAAGTTGCATTAACATATTTACCTACAGAGTTTCTAAAGCAGATTGCAGATTAAAGATGATATTATTTATAAGTTACCATTAGAAAAACAGGTTTAGTTTGAAATGATCAAAGAACATAATCTCACTGTCCACTCTGTAGTTCTGCAGTTACAGACTGTAGTCCATCTGTTTCTCTGCATACATTGTTACTCTTTCTTTACCTCATTCATTGATGGTCAGGACCCCCTTCTTCATGATCTTATGGAGTTTTTCCTTTTGAGTTTTGTTTGCTTTCAGTGGTTCTTCTGTGTGTTCTTGGAGAGTTTATTCTTTTGAGTCTTGGTTCCTCGTCGTGGTTCTTCCTCATGATCTTAGACAGTTTCTCATTTTGAGTCTTCGTTCCAGTCAGTGGTTCTTCCTCATGCTGTTAGAGAGTTTTCTGTTTGAGTCTTGGTTCCTCTCTGGTTCTTCAAGAGTTCAGGGTGTCCCTTTGGGACTATCATTAGGCTGCTGTTACCACATTCCTGGACAAGCTGCTTTGAGGCACTGTCTGTTGTTGAAAGCATCATACTAAGATTGCAGATATCACTATAACTGGGTTTAGTTGAATTGATCATGTTTCCTCCGCAGTCCACAGAGAGGTTAGCACCCACTTGCTCCTGCTTGCTCCTCTCATGTGGTTTGATTGGTTATGCGACAGTGCTGCTTGTAGGCATTAGCAGGTATTGCATCCTGTATTACAGTAGTGTAAAAAATCGAAGCGCAGTGCACTGAAAACACATACATACTGTCTACTGTTATTGTTCATCCTCACTACTTTTCCATTTGTTTCTGGATTTAGTCTTTAATAATGAAGCTGTATCGCATTACTGTGCAGCAGGAACTCTGATCTGCACGTGCTTTGCCACGAAGCCACTGACCCTTTTTGTGTGTGTTTTTCCAGGTGATCCTGATCAGCTCCACTATAAATGAACGAGAGCAGATGCTGTTCATTAGTACAGATGAAGGAGCTTCGTTCCAGCGGCAGCCGCTCTCCTTCACTGTGGAAACGCTGCTCTTCCATCCGTCTGAAGAGGACAAGCTTTTGGCCTACAGCAAAGAAGCCAAGGTAAGTTCATCCTGCACTGTTTTAACCATCGGTGAAGCGTCTCTTTGTGGATTGCACAAAGTAGAACTACAAAAGGTACACTGGTGAAACACCAGTTAGTGTTGTTTCAGTCAATGGTGGAGCCCCAGTTAGTGTTGTTTTAGTCAATGGTGGAGACACAGTTAGTGTTAGTATACATTGGTAGAGCACCGGTTAGTGTTGTTTCAGTCATTGGTGGAGCCCCAGTGTTGTTTCAGTCATTGGTGGAGCCCCAGTGTTGTTTCAGTCACTGGTGGAGCCCCAGTGTTGTTTCAGTCACTGGTGGAACACCAGTTAGAGTTGTTATAGTCACTGGTGGAACACCAGTTAGTGTTATTTTAGTCATTGGTGGAGCCCCAATTAGTGTTGTTTCAGTCATTGGTGGAGCCCCAGTGTTGTTTCAGTCACTGGTGGAACACCAGTTAGAGTTGTTATAGTCACTGGTGGAACACCAGTTAGTGTTATTTTAGTCATTGGTGGAGCCCCAATTAGTGTTGTTTCAGTCATTGGTGGAGCCCCAGTGTTGTTTCAGTCATTGGTGGAACACCAGTTAGTGTTGTTTGTCACTGGTAGAGCACCGGTTAATGTTATTTTAGTCATTGGTGGAGCCCCAGTGTTGTTATAGTCACTGGTGGAACACCAGTTAGTGTTGTTTGTCACTGGTGGAGCACCGGTTAGTGCTATTTTAGTCATTGGTGGAACACCAGTTAGTGTTCTTTCAGTCAGTGGTGGAGCCCCAGTTAGTGTTGCTTTATTCCTTAGTGGAGCAACAGTTAGTGTTGCTTTATTCCTTAGGGGAGCAACAGTTAGTGTTGCTTTAGTAATTGGTGGAGCCCCAGTTATTTTTGTCATTGGTGGAGCACCGGTTAGTCCTGTTTTAGATATTGGTGGAGCATCAATTAGTGCTGCTTTAGTCATTGGTGGAGCCCCAGTTATGGTTGCTTTAGTCATCGGTGGAGCCCTAGTTAGTGCTGCTTTAGTCACTTGCGGAGCATCAGTTAGTGTTGTTTTAGTCATTGGTGAAGCACCAGTTAGTGTTGTTTGGTCAGTCAGTGTTATTGTAGTCATCGGTGAAAGACCAGTGCTGACTTAGTCATTGGGAAACAAAAACCAGTCAGTCAGTGCTGTTATCAGTTGGGCTGTAGTGTTTTTATAGTCACCTCTGAGAGGTCATTATAGTCATCAATCACCAAAACAACATGAAGTCATCACCACAGTGTTGTTTTAGTCATTCTCTGAGGTGTGAGCCGCCAGCTGTAGAGTATCGGCATTCAGATTATTAGGGATATTAGTGTAGGCTGATGATCTGGCAACCCGACAGGCTGCATCCAGTATATATTTCTCACAGCGCTGTGTTTCATGGCCCGTGTTGCCAGTTTTTTTCATTTCTCTGCAGCGTATTGGCATCCTTGTTAGAGTTATGAGTGCATGGCTGTGGGCCTCGACTGCCTCGATAAAGTGTTTACGTGATTAAAGGCCGAGTGAGCCATGAACTCACTTCTGCATCCCTCTGTGTATGTGTGCATTTCTGAGTGTGTGTGGATGCTGGTAAGGTCTGGATGAGCAATTAAACCAACTCCTGTGAGAGTGTGAGTGAATTAGTGTCGGGTATTTACACCAAAAAAGGTAATTCATTATAAATGACTAGTGATGACCGTGACTGTTAGAGCAAGGCCTTCAGTTTGAGCCATTAAATGTCAAAACTTGTTTAAAACCTGCGGAAAAAAATGACCCCTTGATTAACTTCTACTAGTGCCCCTATGGGATTCTAGTACTTTTAGCACTAAGCTAATGGCAGTTCAGCATCTTCTAAGACATTCCAATGTTTACTTGAAGCTTATAACAGACATATTAGCATATATTTTACCTTGTAGCAAGAGCTGCCGCCACTGTTTTCCATTTCTATCAACCCGTTGATTAAACTGCCGCTCAGTTCATATTCAGTGACGTATCTAGAACTTCCAGAGGGCCTAGAGTGATGCTTTTTTTTTCCTCAAAGAAATTGGTCTCACCCATTGTAAGTCAAAGCACGACTGGTCTCTGTAATTTTGCTGATACACACTTAAAAAAGCTGGTTCTTCAAGGGTTCTTTAGTAAAGGCAATCATTTGCATGCTTAAATGGTTTGTTGCATGGAAAATGGTTCTTCAAATTGACGGAGGTTGTGTTGTATATGGTTCTACATAGAACCTTTTTGAAAATGATTCTACACAGCACTGAAAAAGGTTCTTCTTATGTTACGATGTCAAGCTTGTAACAATAGAAGAACCCCTTTAAGTGCTATATAGCATTATTTTCAAAAAGGTTCTATATAGCACCAATATTGTTATGATATCAAGTTTGTAGCAATAGAAGAACCCCTCTTGATGCTATATAGAAGCCTTTTCAAATATGTTCTATATAGAACCATATAAATTACATTCTCCATCAATCAAAAGAACCATTTCACCATGCAAAGAATGTTTCAAGCACAAACCCTTTTTGGTGATATCTAGAACCATATACAACACTTTCTCCATCAATCTGAAGAACCATTTCACCATGCAGAGCATGCAGATGGTCCTATATAGAACTCATGATTCTAATTAGAACCACTGCCTTTACTAAAGAACCCTTGAAGAACCATCTTTTTTAGGTACGTAGTTAATCTGAGGCATCAGGGCTTCTCTTCAGCGCCTGAAGTCCTAACCAATGGAGCTCGATTGGCTATATCTACCCAGATACCACAGAGAAAAACACTCCTGATTGGCCAATTTTGTTTCTAGAATTTAACCCTTTTGTTTCCAAGCACAAATTAACAATGAAGTGGTGAAATAAACAAGATTGACAAAAGAACAAGCATGATTCAGTCTAATAAAAGTAACCTCAAAATTAGACGTGTTTTTATTCTCAGATGTTCTCAGAAATTATTAGACCTTCTCTGAAGACCCGCAGTGTAGATGACTAATCACTTCTCTCACACTGCAACGGAATTACTTTACTAATATTTCACTGGAAAACAATCTCATTACTCATTTATTTATTTAGGAATAAAGAAATATCCGTCATATTTTCATATTAGACTGATTAGTGCTTCGACAGATTGTTTGTCGAGTTTACGGCGCGTCACGCTCGCATAATTACACACTCGCATAATTACACACTCGCATAATTACATGCATAATCTCTATACAGCAAATTGATATATATTAAATAGTGTAATTAAAATAATCTTAGAGACATACGAGACATGGAGGTAACTAAATTCTTAAGTCAGTAATTTTAATTTTTTTATTTATTTTTTAATTTTGTTACAGAAAAAAATAATTTAGTTACTGTAACACGTTATGATGTCCTGCTTTACCCCAACACTGGAGAGTGTGTGAATGTAGCTGGGTTTGGTGTGTGTGTGTGTGTGTGTGTGTGTGTGTGTGTGTGTGTGTGTGGTGTGTGTGTGAGAGAGAGTGAGAGAGAGAGGAGAGAGAGGGAGAGAGAGAGAGAGATGATCGATGCTGTTTCATTACAGGAATAATCAATAAGACACACACACACACACACACACACACACACACACACACACACACACACACACAGTGTGTTCCATAAACTGTGCTGACAGGTTGAGAATAAGTGTCTTTATGGAACTGATGAGCTGTGAATAACAGTGTGGATGTTTCTGATCTCTGATTATGCTGGCTGTGTAGCATTAGCATTAGCTTTGGCGCTAGCACTAGCCCAGCAGACATTATTGAACAGGGCCCCCTTCCTCGGGCCCCCGACACACTACAGAGCACACACACACACACACACACACACATTCACTGTGTGTTCACCGAGACGATTGATGAGCTGAAGAGTTCAGTCTGGTGTGTTTTATAGATTATTGACTGACCTCAAATTTATTGGCCTGTTTAAATGTAAGTTTAGTAGATCATCTAAAATGTATCAGCTTTCTTAAGTTGATCCAGCTGGAAACTGGATTACCTAAAGTTTAGTGGGCTGTTTTAGATTTAGGGTATTACCTCAAATGTACTGGGCTACTTAACATTTACTGCCTAAAATAACAATTTACTGAATAATTTAAAACATACTAAATTATGTACATTTTACCAAATTACTTATTATTATAATTATTAAGCTATTAATTACCATAACTCCATTTCTAATCTGATTTTAATTGAATGATTTTCTCTTTTAAAACTATTGTCTTAAAAACATGATCAAAACATCATTAATTTCTATTCTCTTTTACATCTTTTTTTTTATTGACCCTATTTTCTCATTTGTAAATCACTTTAATGACAGTAGTGTATGAAAGGTGCAATATAAATAAACTTGCCTATTTTTATTATTATTATTTTTAATGATAATAATAATAATAATGGTAAACGGTGTATCAGAGTGCTGACTCTGTGGTGATCAGTGGTGTAGATTATTCAGGTGTTTTTTTTCTCTCTGTGTGTTTTTCAGCTGTATGTGTCCACTGATCTGGGACGGAAATGGACTCTGCTTCAGGAACGAGTGACCAAAGACCGAGTTTACTGGTGACTGATCTTCACTTTATCTCCTCATCTTAGATATTCTGTACAGTTCACCCCTCTTCGCTCTCTCTCTCTCTCTCTCTCTCTCTCTCTCGCTCTCTCGCTCTCTCGCTCTCTCTCTCTCTCTTTCTCTCTCTCTCTCTCTCTGTTCCATCTCTCTGTGTGTGGTAGTAAAGCTGCTCTGTTAGATGTGTTATTTGGCTGAAGCTCTTTCTCCGAGTGGTTGTGAATCTGCCTCTGGGGGGTTTTTACTGGAAACAGATTCTCCGGGTCGAGTTCTGCTGTCCGCATTGCACTTAAAGGACCCGTATCATAGAAAACCACACAGACCACTGCTCATCTTAAATATACAGAACAGGGGGAACAATGGCTGGAAGAAGAGAGGGACTGCATGATACGGGCCCTTTAAGTAAAGTTCAGAAATATCTGAGAGATTTTTTCCTTACTGGTTTGAAATATGTACATATATATATATATATATATATATATATATAATATATATATATATATACAACATAGTATACAAAGTTTACAGACCACAGATATTATAAGGACGGTTATTAAGGCATTAACTGAGATAGTAAGAAGTTTAACATATACTAAATCATCATTTACAAGGTACTTTGAGTTTTATGAGTTACATTTTTAAATTTAAAAAAAAAAAACAACTTTTTTTCAAAAAATGCTGTCCCAGGTTTTTATGTCACTACCAAAACAGAGTTTTAGTCTGTAGGCGGATCCTTGTTTTAGCCACACCCCTGCCTTTTAGAGCAGGAAGTGAGGCTGCATCCCAGTCCCTTATTGGCCACATGATGAGCAGTTAGATCCCATTGGTTTGAAGTAAATGTGCCCAAAGTCTGGAAAATCATTGTGGAACATTAAGAACTGTCAGTACTGAAACAGATTTTCTGCTAATGAAGCTGCACTATGTAAGATTTAGAGATTTGGAGACCTCTCTGGTGGGAATGTGTAATTGCACTCAGCGTGCTGAAGAACGCATTTGTAGTTATTGGAGTGGAAGATGTGGAGAAATGGTTAAACGTTGTGTTGTTCCTGTCTGTCAGGCAGCAACTGCAGCCTTTCATAAACTACACACACCTGAAAGCAGCAGCTGAAGATTTGTTTTTGTTTTTTTTCCACTAAATTCCTGAAGATTTATTGTGTAAAAGTCAGTGCAAATGTACTGTAACAAAATCCAATGTGTAATATGGGCCCTTTAAAAACATCTCCAAAGGCCAGGCCTTGGGCTGATCACCAGCAGAGGGCCGCTCTCTCTCTCTCTCTCCTCTCTCCTTCTCTCTCCTTCCCTCTCTCTCCCTCTCTCTCCTCTCTCCTCTCCTCTCTCCCTCTCTCTCCCTCTCTTTCTCCCTCTCCCTCCCTCTCCTTCTCCCTCTCTCTCCTTCTCCCTCCCCCTCTCTCTTTCTCTCTCTCTCTCTCTCTCTCTCTCTCTCTCTCTCTCTCTGTTCCATCTCTCTCTCTGTTCCATCCCTCTCTCTCTCTCTCCTTCTCCCTCTCTCTTTCTCTCTCTCTCTCTCTCTCTCTCCCTCTTTCTCTCTCCCCCTCTCCCCCTCCCTTTATCCTACTCCCTCTCTCTCTTCCTTCTCCTTCTCCCCCTCTCCCTCCCCCTCACTGTCTCTCCCTCTCTCTCTTTCTCTGTGTTTCTCTCTCTCTCTCTCTCTCTTTTTCCCTCACCCCCTCTCACTCTTGCTCTGTCATTCTCTCTCTCTCTTTTCTTTTTTCTTTCTTTCTCTGTTTGTCTCTCTGTCTTATCGCTCTACCTGTTCTCTCTCTGTGTTTTCTCTCTCTCTCCCTCTCCCCCTCTCTCCTTCTCTCTCTCTCCCTCTCTCTCCCTCTCCCCCTCTCTCCTTCTCTCTCTCCTTCTCCCTCTCCCTCTCTTTTATATCTCTGCTCTATGTAAACATGAGCGCTCAGTGACCTCAGTGACCCCGGTGACCTCTGGTGTGCGGTCAGTGTTTGTGCGTCTGCAGTTTAATAAGCTGTTTTCTTCGAGTGTTGAAAACATACAGCAGAGTCACAAGAGCTCTTAAAACACTCCTGCCCTGGATTTCAATTCCGGAAAAAATGCCATTCCCAGACTTCCCTGCCATGCTTTGGGAATTCCTGCTGCCACCTTAAAAGCATTCCATGCAGTTTATTAGCCCATATGTATTCTACATTAGCTAATATACTGTGTATACATTGATGGGCACTGTATTAATTGATGTATACTGTATATAAGCGTGAATGTTCATGGGGAGTGTGTGTGTTAATCCAGCCAGGCTTCTGCTTTTTTCAGGAATTGGAAGAAAACTAATACATACTGTACTCAAATGTATTTGTATGAACTAATATACAGTGATTATTAACTACTAAATACACTTATATGCATTATAAAAGTTTATAGACTGTATATATGTGAGATACTATAAGGTATAATGAACTGATCTAAACTGAGTTCAGACGTATACCTTTTAGAAACAGTATAGAAATGAATGTACTGTATTACCATAGAATTACTGCAGAAAAATTCATATAAATTACAGCATGATTTTGCTCTGCGGTGTAGGAGTTAACCTCTAACTCTCCTGTGTTCTCTGTGTTCTCCCTGCTGTGTTTTATCACAGGGCTGTGTCTGGAGTGGACGTGGATCCTGATCTAGTTCACATGGAGATGCAGGACTCCAGTGGAGGTGAGAGAGAGAAACGGGCAGATCTAAAAAAAAATCCTTGTTGCCCAGTGAGAGAAGACTGTGTGGTCACTGTGAGGTCGAGACAGAGCTGCACTTCCTCCTTCAATGTGAAAAATTCAAATTGGCATGAAAAAATTTCGTAACAAAAGTGAAAAACATTCTCCCAAATTTCGGAATTCCAAGTTTTCCCTTGGAGAAGGCCAAACAGCATCTATTCCTGCAAAATATGTGGCAACATGTCACTGCCTGGGGGACAGTGAGTAACACTCCACACCCTGCACCACTCCAGTGACCCCACCAAACCCCGCACTGTGTATAAGTTAAATATACTGTTATCATTTTTTTATATTAAGTTGGCTTAAAAAAGCCGAGTTATCGTTCTTCGTAATCTTCTTATTATTATTCTACGCTCAAATTTTGTAAACTTTTCATGGCCTGCAGTTTTTGACGTACAACCACCAAATTTCGCACAAACGTTCCTCATATATGGGAATAATGAAACTCCATTTAAGGTAGCACTAAATTTAAGGTGGTACTGAATTTAAGGTGGAATTGCATTTAAGGTAGCACTGAATTTTAGGTGGCAGTAAATTTTACATATCAGTAAGTTTACGGTGGCTCAGAAAATAAGGTGGAATTGCATTTAAGGTAGCACTGAATTTAGGTGGCAGTAAATTTTACGTATCAATAAGTTTACGGTGGAGCTGCATTTAAGATAGCACTAAATTTAAGGTGGCACCGTATTTAAGGTGGAGCTTAATTTATGGTGGCACCAAATTTAAGGTGGAACTGCCTTTAAGGTGGCACAGAATTTAAGACGGAATTGCATTTCAGGTAGCAACATAATCCAATGAGGCTTGGATACCATAGCAACCACCTAGCAACATTTAAGCAACACTTTAGCAACCATCAACAGTCTTACACCATTTTAACGTTGGCTTTTTCAAGCCAACTTAAAATTCATTCACAAACTATCCATTTCTAGTTTACTATATGTTGTCTTATTTTATTTATTACTTTATGTATTTAAATAAAAAAGACAACATATAGTACAAAAAACAGTTAATGTCACTTGTATACAATGAGGGTTCGGGGGGGTCAGTCAGGTCGGGCTGTGGAGTGTGTTACTGTCCCTCAGGTGGGGACGTGTTGCCACATATTTTGCAGCGAGATGCTGTTTTTCCTCCTCCTATTAATGATAATAGTCCTATTATTTCAGTATGACTATTATCATTATTACAATTATTAATATACTTATCTTCTACTTTGAGTTGAATTTTATATGCTTTGGTGACATTTTACTCAAAACAGTCATGCTAATAAAGCTCCTTTACATTTATATTTGGATTTGAGAGGAGAGAGAGAGAGAAAGAGGTAGAGAGAGAGAGAGAGAGAGGAGAGAGAGAGAGAGAGAGAGAGAGAGAGAAAGAGAGAGAAAGAGTTAGAGAGAGAGAGGGATGTTTTGAGTGCTGTGGAGATGTTTTCCTTCTCTCTTCTGACCTTGAGGAGGTTTGTATCTTATTCACAGAGGCAGAAAGTGTGCGCTGTGTGAAGTCCCTGAAGCTCATTTACTGAGAGAGAGAGTGTGTGAGTGTGTGAGTGTGTGAGTGTGTGTGTGTGTCCAGGCGTGTAGACTCCAGCTGTTTGGCGAGACCGTGTCACACTCGCCGGTGAAGGTTAAGTGCTGTCAAACACGCAGATTACTGTTAGTTCAGAAAGCAAATAATAATATTCATTTATTAATTCAACATAAACATCAGAAACACATTCACGTTCTTCACAGAAACCACAACTGATTTTAAACATGCTTCTCAGCCTTTTACATATGTGATATTTGAGTCATTCTACAGAAACATCCATTTTTGTGTCCCTAGCATTTAGAGATATGTTACACTTTAAACATGTTAGGGTTGCAATTTATTTAGATTTTAAAATAATACAGTAAGTTATTTTAACAATTCCACCTTCTTGAACTTCAATTTAGCAATACTGGTTTTTAAATCAATTATCTAGAATTCCAAGCACCACAGAAGAGCTCGTCCCCACAGTCATGTGTGAAGGCTGAGGCCATATTTTGAGGTAAAAACCACATTTTTCTGCAGTTTTAACTACAATAATCTATACATGACTATGAAATATATGATTTCATATATGACATAAACAAATGGCAAATAAATATTATAAAACATATAATGAAAGTTGTGGTCCCCAGGAGTCGTGTCACTGGCATAACAGAAAATCTCTGTTCTGTCACAGCTCAGCCAGGTTGCATTGAAGTCCCTGTAGTTACTGAGTAATAAGCCTCATAACACCCGACGGCGAAAGTCATTCCTATCAACCCGCTCCAAACAAGCCACATTTTGGTTGCCGTGGGATTCGTCACAACCTACACCTGCTCAGGGGGTAAATATTTAGTATCTACTAGGCCCTACGCACAAACTAATTTGTGTGGTGCAACCCGTTTTGATTTAGTAATGCGTAAACCAGAACCTACATTACAACTAGTGTTTGGTGTAGTGTAGTGTAGTGGGTAACACCTCTGCCTTCTACCCTGTAGACTAGTGTTCAATCCCCCACCTGGGTAAATACCCTACACTATACTGATAAGAGTCCTTGGGCAAGACTCCTAACACTACCTTCACCTACCTGTGTAAAATGATCAGATTGTAAGTCACTCTGGATAAGAGTGTCTGCCAAATGCCTTAAATGTAATGTAAATGTAAACTAGCCTACGTTTGAACTTATGTACAACTGTAACTTCAAAAGTAACTTTAAAAGTAACACCAGAGACATTTTTAATGAACAATGCATTTTACTAAATGGCTGCTACAGAGCATCAAACCACATGTTGTCAATCATGCAATATCCACCAAAATATGTAATTTAATCCATTTGTATTCTATTTTTTCACAGTTACCTCAGAATAAAGTCGGTCACACCAGTGACTTCAGCTAAAAGCTTCATATGAAATCATGAGCTAAATGAGAAAATCTCTGATAACTGAAAGACACAGTGGACTCACCATGTGCTTTTCTTCATAGATCCTCAGAAAACAGGTAAAAGGAAGTCGTGATGTCATCAGTGTGATTTTTATTTCAAAATAAGAGATTTTTGTTATGCAGTGACACCAGTGACACGACTCCTGGGGAACTTTCATTATATATTTTATAATATTTATTTAGCATTTGTTTTCTTTATCTAATTTAAATAATATATTTCATAGTCATATATAGATTATTGTAGTTTAAATAGCAGAAAAAAATGTTTTTGGGGGGGTGGAACTTCTTAAGGAGCACTGAAGGGAGGGGTGTATTTGTTTTGTTGTTAAGAATTGCTTCTGCGCCTTTAAATTTGGCATCATCGTGCTGAAAGGCAACCAGCGCTCGATTTCGGAAAACACTGATTGGTCCATCTCTACACTTTACATATAACACAAAGTATTTTTGATTGAACAAAATTCAAAATTAGTGTCCTGTTTGCACTAAACTGTCCTCTCCTCGACATTTTCACATGAATGTGGGCCTCGGGGCTAAAATCTGCCAATCCAGGTAAAATCTCTTAAAAGTGGCAGGTGGGCTTTGAGAACCTGAACGGAACATTTGGACCACACCTGAGCCCCGCGCATTTTTGAGAAATGACGTCCGAACCAGTCCAAACTTGACGTGAGCAGTCTGGTCCTGTCGGGATCAGACAAACATATCAAGTTGTAGTCGGAACTAATTGATGTGTATAAATTATTACTGAATAAAATAACAGCAATTATTAATATGACAAGGGATTTCAAACCTTTGAACAGTGATGTTAATTTTTGCATCATACTGTGGAGTTTGGACCCCACAAAGAGTAAAAACACACACACACACACACACAACTGTGTGTACGGATCAGAGCTCCTGTCAGTGGGACAGAAGCGAGCACTGGGCCGTCTAATTGCTTTTTAATGAATTCCCCCGTATGCTGTTTTGATTAAGCGTCTGGTCACTTCTCTAAATTAGCCGTCCGGTTGCAGCGCTAAAACTACACAGAAACACAACAGCAAAAACATGGAGAAAATGCAAAGAGAGGAGCAATTAAAGCACAACTGCACGTGTCACCTTGGGCCATGACTTTAGAACAGTTTGTGCACCTTTTTGCAACTTCCTAACTACCACAGTTTCCTGGCTGTACGTAAACTTTTTGAGGATGCAGCTGTGGTGCTAGAAAAGTTGAAAGTAGCACAAGTAAAAATATTGAAGTAAAACATTACATAATATTACTTTTTAAAACTGTTGATCCCAGTAAAGCGAAACAATTTATCAATTTAGCTGCAGGAAACAGAAGCAGCGTGTAAAGGTTTGAATTTTGTGTCAAAGTAAATTTCATTCGAAATAATTCAGATTCCCCACAAGGGGGCGTGACTAGTTAAGTCAGAGTTTATTTATATAGCACTTTTTACAACAGGTGTTGTCACAAAGCAGCTTTACAGAAAAGTCCGGGTCTGAGCCCCCATGACGGTCGCCAATGGCGACAGTGGCAAGGAAAAGCTCCCTAAGAGCAAGAGGAAGAAACCCTTGAGAGGAACCAGTTCTCAAAAGGGGAACCCATCCTCCTCTGGTCAACACTGGATAGCAAAACAGCATTAGTATAAAATATTAGAATACAAAACGGGGAAAAACAGGTGGAGCAATGGTTAATTAGATAGTTTGAGTCTATGCAGCAGCAGCATCATTAGGAGGGTCAGTTCATGAAGGTGAGGTTTGCACAGCGTTGTATAGCGAGAAGCTCCATGGTGGTGAAAATGGTCCAGAAGGCTGAAACAGTCCAGAGGGCTGGCGAGCAGTGGGCACTCGATCAAGGCAGGAGAAGCAACAGCATCAGACGCTCAGGATGGGCAGCTGTTCAACTCGGTAAAGAAAAGGAAACACACAGAGAGTCAGTTCTGTAAGGAGTGACTGATCACAGATTACAGGGTTAACAGAGCAGCAGAGACTCCGGCAGGTCTAGTTATTACAGCCTAACTAAAAGGGACCAACCAGAAAGGTAACAGAGACATGAGGCTCCCTGAGATGTCAGCGCCCCTCCGCTCCACCGTCAGCAAACCTGAGTGAACGCATGAGGCAGCAGCACCAACACTCCCAGTTTACCATAATACTCTATGACCACGAACCTCCAGATCTGCACCTTTTATCTAACAGGGAAAACTAATTACCAAAGGCTCCACTAAACAAGTGGGTTTTTAGTCTAGACTTAAAGACTGAGGCTGTGTCGGAGTCCGGAGACTAGCACACCAGTTACTCATTGAAAGAAAGGAAACCCACACCAGAAGGAGCTCAAGAACACACATGTGGTTGCGCTTACAAAAGACCAGGATTGATGGGCTATATGGGACCAATAACGTCCTAAGGTTTTTCCTAAATGTGTTCTTCAGGAAAGTCCTCAGAAAAAGTCCACATCTGATTCATGACGTTCTTAAAGTGCAGAACGGTTCTCACCTTTGTGCTCTTGAGTGTGTAGATTCTGTTCTTACCTAAGAACAAATCCCAGATAAGAAATCATTGGTGAATGTCAGAATCTTCGTGAAAACTGCATAAGTGGGTTTTAAGTGGTCGGTGAATGAGGCCCATAGTTCTGTTAACTTTGTTACAACCCTTTTTTACTGTGCACATACAATTTAAACCTACCAAGGCTCTAGTCCAGGGTAATAAGGTAGTAACATAAAACACATAGACCAGCACCCCAATGTAATGCTCAGGAGAATAGTTTGTATTACGAGTTAAGGCAAGAAGTCAGGGGGTTTTTAGACTTCAGGGTCAGATAATGCCAAAATAACAAAGCCTCTAAAGCCACTCCCCATGAAACTACCTTTCCTATCCAAAAGAACATAGAAACAGCAGGTGCCAGCCTACCTCCCTCAGCAGGAAAACAGGAGAAAAGGAAACATCAAAATATATGGCACTCACCCCTACATAGTTGTGACTAGTAAGCTATTAATTAAGTGACCCTTATTAGTCCCACAACGCGGAAATTTCACCTCCGCATTTAACCCGTCCGTACAGTGAAACACCACATACACACTAGAGAACACACACACTAGGGGCAGTGAGCACACTTGCCCGGAACGGTGGGCAGCCCCGTACCCATGACTCCCCCATATACATGACTGCACCAGTATAGCAATTGTTGAACAGGCAACATGGTGCAAGTATCAAATAGAAGAAGCTGCAGAACGCCGAGTCAACATCACTCCCACATGGTGAAACACCACGGGCCAAACTGCAGCTCATCACCGTCGCTTTTCAAGGGAGATTCTTCATGCAAACGTCTTGGACATAAGAACTTACTATTTGATACGGAGCCCTGCTGGTGACATCCCGTATAAATGAAAATAATATATGGGCATGACTTAGTAAGGCATGGGAACAAGATAAGTCATGACCATGACTTAGTAAGCTGTGAAAATTAGATTAATGTGTGCCCAAGACTTAGGAAGGCGTAGGAACGAGATAATAAAGTCATGGCCACGACTTAGTAAGGCATGGGAACGAGGTCCTAATGCGAGGCCACAACTTTGTAAGACATAGGAATAAGAGAGTTAAATTGTGGCCATGATTTAGAAAGGCATGAGAACGAGGTCTTAATGTGTGGCCATGTCTTAGTAAGGCGTAGCAACGAGACAATTGAGTCATGGCCATGATTTAGTAAGGCGTGGGAACGAGATCTTAATTCATGGCCACCACTAAGTAAGGCATAGGAACAAGATAACTAAGTTGTGGCCATGACTTAGTAAGGCATAGAAACGAGATAATTAAGTCATGGCCCCGATTTAGTAAGCCGTGGGAATGAGACCCTAATGCTTGGCCATGACTAAGTAAGGTATCGGAATGAGAATTGAGTCGCGGCCCTGTCTTAGTAAGGTGAGGGATCGAGATCCTAATGCACGGCCACGACTTAGTAAGGCGTAGGAACGAGATAGTTAGGTCGTGGCTGTCACTTAGTAAGACGTGGGAACGAGATCCTAATTTGTGGCCACGACTTAGTAAGGCGTGGGAACGAGATCCTAATGCGTGGCCACGACTTAGTAAGTTAGTTAGTTCCTACGACTTACTAAGTCATGGCCACAAATGAGGATCTCATTCCCACACCTTACTAAGTCGTGGCCACGCGTTATTTTTGCTTATATGGGTCACCAGCAGGGCTCCGTAATTTGCTGTTATATTAACTTACTTTTTAAGGCAGCCGGGTTTAAAGTCAAAGTCACCGTGTTGCAGCTGGACTTTCAATTTGTTCGCCAACAAAGCGAACCAAGGTACTTGGAACAGATGAAGAACATTTCAAGATGTTTTAACCATTCCCAGTACATACGTTTCTGAATATTGGTGTGTGTGTGTGAGGGGAAAGTGTGTGGGTGTTTATATGTGTGTGCAGAAGGTGCTGATGCAGCTGTTGTGTGTAATTTGATGCCAGCTGAATTTAGCAGCCCCTCCTGCTCCCCCCATAATTAATTTTCTGACATCCAGACTGGAGAAAAGTAATGAGTCCAGTGAACGTCTGCCACAAGCTACTCCATTCAACTTTACATGCTCACATTCTACCTTCTCACAGATTCCTCACAAAGCCTGATTAAAAGGTCTGTTTGGAAAGTCTTTGGAAAGTCCAACCGTCGCCTTTGTGTGTGTTTCCAGGTCACCTGTATGTGACGTGCCTGATCCAGAATTGCTCGGATAAAATGGTTACGGCGCAGTTCCTCGGGAAGATCGACCACAACTCGCTCTCCGTGCAGAACGATTACATATTTGTGAAGGTAAAAAACACCAGCCAGAAGCTTTAAAGGTGGCATTTTACTGAATTAATCTGTTAAATGACAGAATTGACATTTTTGGGTTTATATTATAATGTTAGAGCAGAATTAATGTTTCAGTTTTTTTAATCGTTACACTATGATATTACTTATGTTTTAAATTATGCATTGCAAAAGTCATGACAAATTGAAATTGAAAATATTTTTGAGTGCTTGGTTGTGATGAAATCCTGCAACCATGTCCACCTTTTGTGGAGAAGAGTGGTGACCCCTGATGTATATGACAAAAATTCAGGTTTGATATTTTATCATTTGTATTGTAAAAGCTGGGAAAGAATTGATATTTTAGGGTTTATATTATAAACACTGGGGCAGGATTTATATTTTAGGGTTTATGTTATAAACACTGGGGCAGGATTTATATTTTTAGGGTTTAGATTATAAACACTGGGGCAGGATTTATATTTTTTAGGGTTTATGTTATAAACACTGGGGCAGGATTGATATTTTTAGGGTTTATGTTATAAACACTGGGGCAGGATTGATATTTTTTAGGGTTTATGTTATAAACACTGGGGCAGGATTTATATTTTTAGGGTTTAGATTATAAACACTGGCAGAATTGAAATAAAGTTTGTATTATAAACACTGGAGCAGGATTGATATTTTAGGGTTTATATTATAAATAGTGTGGCAGGATTGTATATTTTAGGGTTTACATTATAAACACTGTGGCAGGATTGATATTTTAGGATTTATATTATAAACACTGGCAGGATTAATATTTTACATTTACATTACATTTATGGCATTTGGCAGACGCTCTTATCCAGAGCGACTTACAGTGTGATCTTTTTTTACACAGGTAGGCGAAGGTAGTGTTAGGAGTCTTGCCCAAGGACTCTTATTGGTATAGTGTAGAGTGTTTACCAAGGTGGGGTTTGAACCCCAGTCTACAGTGTAGAAGGCAAAGGTGTTACCCACTACACTATACCAACCACCATTTTAGGGTTTACATTATAAACACTGCAGCAGGATTGATATTTTAGGGTTTACCTTATAAACAGAATGGAAGGATGATATTTTAGGGTTTACATTATAACCACTGTGGCAGGATTGATATTTTAGGGTTTATATTATAAACACTGCTACACAATTGTTATTTTAGGGTTTATATTATAAATTATAAACACTGTGGCAGGTTTGATATTCTAGGGTTTATATCATAAACAGAATGACAGGATTGATACTTTAGGGTTTATATTATAAACAGAATGGCAGGATTGATATTTTTGTGGTTTATATTATAAACAGTGTGGCAGGATTTATATTTTAGGGTTTATGTTATAAACAGTGTGGCAGGATTGATATTTTAGGGTTTATATCATAAACACTGTGGCAGGATTGATATTTTAGGGTTTATATCATAAACACTGTGGCAGGATTGATATTTTAGAGTTTATATCATAAACACTGTGGCAGGATTGATATTTTAGGGTTTATATCATAAACACTGTGGCAGGATTGATATTTTAGGGTTTATATTATAAACACTGTGGCAGGATTGATATTTTAGAGTTTATATTTTAAACACTATGGTGGGATTTAGTATATAAAGTTTATATCAGACCCAGGTTTCTTCTGGGCCACAGTTTAGCATTTTCTCTCAGAATTCAGCTCAAGTCCTTGCCGATGAGCTGACGAGTTGAATGAGGGCTGTTTAATGAGGCTGGAAGCTGAAGTCTGCAGTGCTGTGGCATAAATAGTGTATAAATAAAAATACGTGGCAGGGCTGATGCTTTAGGAATTATAACCTAATGGCATGTTTTTTGTTTTATGATTTGTATTATAACTTTAAGGAATGATTTTGTCATTTCAGTCCTTCTTTCATCCTTTTCACTTTCCTTCTGTTTACCCTAATGCTTAAAATTCTTCTTGATCTTCAGAACGTCCTGCTGGTGCTGGAACAGCTCTGTCATACTTCATTAGAGATTTGTCTGCTTCGTTTACAACAGAGAGAGACTCTGTGTGTGTGTGTGTGTGTGTGTGTGTGTGTGTGTGTGTGTGTGTGTGTGTGTGTGTGTGCGTGTGTGTGTGCGTGTGTGTGTGTGTGCGTGTGTGTGTGTGTAAGGGAGTATATACACAGTAAGAGGTCAGAGAGATGCAGTAAAAATCTCATTATCTAAGTGTGGGGTCAGAGTAAACAAAGCCTGGCAGCCGTCCCCTCTGAGACCAGAGAGGATATTACACATTATTACCCCTCACTCTCAAACACACACTGTGCTGCTGTGTGAGTGTGTGAGTGTGTGTGTGTGTGTGTGTGTGTGTGTGTGTGTGTGTAGGGACACCTGAAGCGGGAATGCCGAGGGGCCACAGTAACCCCAAATTTCAGGACTGCATAACTGCAACTGCTAGAAATCATTTGAAAAATATAAGAAACTGAGCTTAAAAAATAACCTCAGTATAGCTGAGGCCTATGTGTGCTTGTTTTAGGGTGGATGTTTGTATTTTTATTTTGGGTTTTATTTATAAACATAAATAAGACACTTTTTGTTTTTTTTATACTTCAGTACATAAAGACATGCAAGACTGTGAACAATCCCAGCAAAATTACATATTTTATTGATTTTCTAAGTGAAAGTAAGTTAACTCATCCTCTACAGATCTGAATATGGAAAATTTTAACTGCGTTTTTAATGAACAAATTCTATTTATTTGCTAAGTTGAACATTTTGGAAAAAAATAAAACATAAAATGTAAAATGTGCTGTAATTTTGCCCAGGTTTTGTTTTTTTTTTTTACCCCAATATGATAAATTCAGTGTTCTCTGTAGAGGATGTTTAACTTATTTTCACATAGAAAATCAATACCTGTAATAAACTTTTTGCACACAGCTGTAGACCCCCCTCACATTTACACACATAATGTCTTTTGACTTTGTACTCATAAATATGACCAAAAAAGTATGTATTCTCAAGCGTAAACAAAGATATGTTAGAAATACATATATATATATATATATATATATATATATATACATATCACTGTTGTCAGAAGAAAACCTCGTATCTCCATTTTTGATGTTTTTCAGTTTTTGACATAGTTTGAAAATGCCTGTTGCCCTTTACATTGAGTGTAAATTTCATGATGAATGGACCAAAAGAAACGACCTAAAGTTACTTGGAAAAAAGTCTGGTTCCATTGACTTACATTAAAGTAGGTTTTTTCCTTCTCCTGTAAAGTTTGGAGATACGAGGTTTTGTTCTGACAACCGACTATGTATATGTGTGTGTGTGTGTGTGTGTGTGTGTGTATGTATGTATGTATGAATGTATATATGCATACATGTATGTATATATACATACTATATTCTCATGCAAATTACACCTGATGTCATTATAAAAGATGTTGCCATTGGTTGGGGAGGTTTCACGCAACAAGTATCAATCATGGTGAAGGTGATGGAGTTTCCTGAAGTTCTCAGAGAGAACATTATTAAACAACACTCCAATGGAAGAAGCTGCAGAGCCACATAGCAAAGACCTTAAACAGCCAGTCAGAACAAGTGGTTCAATGATATGCTATTGGAAAGTTTGTGGAAGCACAGCTAAGCATCTCCAGACAGGAGCACCACGCAAGGTTTCTCTCAGACTGATGTTGAGGAAGGTAAGAGACACGCCAGCAGTCGCTGAAAAAGAGCTGTGAGACGACCTGCAAGCAGCAGAACAACAGATACACAGAGAACAATACGCTGTGAACTGCACCTTCCTAAACCCCACATAACACTCCTCTGATGAAACAGAAGCTCAGAGATGATCTTTTGGAACAATGTTCTCTGATCAAATGAACCAAAAGTAGAGCTCTTCTTTAATAACTCGGCTCGTCGTGTTTGGGGAGAGAAGGGTTGTCTGCATGATCCCAGGAACACCTACAGTGAAGCATGACGGTGGTAGCATCATGATACGGGGCTGCATCTCAGCAGACAGTACTGGAGTATTACAATTGAAGGGAACATGAGTGGAGTGATGTACTGAGAGATATTAGAGGAGAATTTAATCTCTTCAGCGAAGAATGGGGAGAAGATAGAAGTTTCAACAAGACAACAACCAGAACCTGCAGCCAAAATAACTCATGACCAGTTTCTAAAAAGGTGAAGGTGCTTGCATGGTCTAGCCAATCTCCTGACTTGAACCCCATTTAAAATTTATGGAGGATTTTGAAATTACATTCCATTATGCAGAACTCTTGTAACATTGGGGGATTGAAGGTTTGCCAAGAGTAGAGGAACGGGCCAAAATTTAGCCACAATGCTGCAAAAAGCTGATTACTGTAGATGCCAAAAACAGCTTAGCAACAAAGTACTAATGGTATTTATTTGTGGTGTCTGAATAAACTCCTCACAGCCATACCATTTTCATGTTTTTATCATCCTTGGGGGATGTGGACCCATGCAAAAAGATGAATACATACACACATAAGGGCTCTACCCAAAGCAGTAAAACATATGTAAATGGTTTATAGTATACGGGTCACTCTCCATTTGGAGGGGAAACCACGTCACAAAGGTTGAAGGGCTTAAAAAGCTTAGAATTTTAGGCACAGCTCCAAAAGGTTGGTATGCACATTTACACAGTTGACCTAAGATTAAATACCACTTTTCCCTCATGATTCTCTGATTTTTCTTTTTTTATCCTGTTTCATAGTCGCTCTGCATCTGTGAAACAGCTCACCACAAAACCAGTTTTCAAACCATTTTTAATATAAAACAATATTTTTAAGAGGTTTAACTTAGGATTTTGTATAAAACAGATTCATGTTTACTTTTTATATCATTAACGTTATACTACATTTAAAAAATGTGCATTTTATTTTAAAAATTCATTTGACACAGATTTTGGTCACTGGTGTTATAAGGACTCTTATTTTACATTTTAACACAGTATTTTCAGCTCTATTAAACTGCCTCTTTGGGTCGAGGCTCAACAGAGAGAAGGCATCTCAAGGCAGGAGGAGGCGAGTCACACTTGCTCACTATATATATACTATATTACTTATTTATACTATATTACTATATTAATTTATTAATTATTTTGTTCATCAGGCAGCTCATAACGTCTATGTGTCACTGGTGTTATGTGCTTTAATGGCTGGGTAATTAAAATTTTGTCAAAATAACACTGTGTATGATTTTTATTACTGATTTTAAACAGTTGCACAAGGTCACCTGACGGTCAACGAGTCAGCCAATTTACAAAATCCCCAGTTTTAACCAGAATGTCACTGGAGTCACCGTCACTGGTGTTACACCATATTCATATAACACCAGTGACTGTAAAATATGTTTGGAATTAAGCTCTCCTTTCTGCATATATGATAATAGATGTTCACCCTCTACTGCACGCATTATGAGCAATAAAAAAAAAATCTATTCACTTTTTTGCATAAAATTGTTCAAATTTATTAATTTTAATTAATTTTTAAACCTGATTATTATTCACGTTCAGATTATTATTCATTCATTCATTCATTCATCATTAACCACTTAATCCAGATAGGGTCGTGGTCCAGATCGGGTTGCAGTAAAACATTAAAAAAAAAATGTAAAACATTAAAAAAACAATAATTATAGTATGTGCAGGGGTCCTTTTGGGGTATACAACAATGGGAAGAAATGACACAGATCCGTGTTCCCTGAAGTGGTGAGACCTGGCTTGTGACTGGCTAAATCCATTCCGCTGTCAAACAGTGTTGCTTCTAGGCAACATATTTCTGTAAATTCTCATAACTAAAAAAATTTGATACTGAATGTTAAAAATGAGATTTAAGTGTGCGCACTAAGAGATAGTATGACCAAGTACATGCTTTTTATTGACTTACTCAACTCTTCCCTTTATTGTTAACCCTAACATTGTCATTAAATATGTATAATGTTATAGTAAAGTGAGGAAAATTAGTTTGTTGCCCTGAGGCAACAGAGGGTTATGGACATATTAAGATTTGTTAGTTTTAGGATGAAAGAAACAGATTAAAAAAAAACGTATCCACCTGAATTCCCTCTCCAAATGGAGAGTGACCTCTATAGCGGTCCAATTCCATATTAGTTATTGGGATTAATAGGGTTTTAGGCTACATTATTGTGGAAAATGTACATTGCATATGAATTTGTACGGTGGCAACAATGAGCTACTCCAGCACTCACGGCAGGTTAACCACCCACCAGAGACTCAAACACGCATCCCAAACACTGATCACAATACGTTTTATATGAGTTTATAATTCAAGAAAACCTGAAGAGACTATCAGACTACATCTCTCTCTCTCCCTCTCTCTCTCTCTCTCCCTCTCTCTCTCTCCCTCTCTCTCTAGGTTACCACGGGTAATCGTACAAAGCATTACGTCTCATATCGGAGGAACGAGTTTGTCCAGATGCGATTCCCCAAGTATGCTCTGCCAAAGGTACAGTCTTCATCATCATAATGACTGCTTTATTATTTATGTAACACCAATTAATAACACTGTTAACTGCTATTCTTAAATTAATTACAGCGTTAATACATTATTTATTTTAGCAGTGTGGATTCCACTCAGCCTGAGGCTCTGAACTAGAACAGATGATTATGCGGTGCTAAATATGAAAAGTTTGATGAACTGATTGTAGTTTGGTGTTAAATGAAAGCGAATGGCTGAGTCAAATCTGCGGCTCTCTTTTCGTTCTGATGCTGAGAATGTTCTGAAGGATTTTGAAGACTTTACACACTGAAAGTGGTGGATTATCACAGACAAAGAGCTCAATCACAGCACATGAGAATTAAATTAAATGACCCTTATTAGTCCCACAGTGGGGAAATTTCACCTCCGCATTTAACCCATCCGTGCAGTGAAACACCACATACACACTAGTGAGCACACACACTAGGGGGCAGTGAGCACACTCGCCCGGAGCGGTGGGCAGCCCTATCCGCAGCACCCGGGGAGCATTTGGGGGTTAGGTGCGTTGCTCAAGGGCAATCTCGGCTCAGGGGATCGAACCAGCGACCTTCCGGTCACAAGGCTGGTTCCCTAACCTCCAGCCCATGACTGCCCCAAGGAGAGAAATGCTCTTAACCCGGACTTAAAAATAGCTACATTAGGGGCACATCAAAGGTCCTCTGGCAGTTTGTCCCAGTTGTATGAAGCATAACAGGTAAATGCTGATTCACTGTGTTTAGTCTGGACTCTGGGCTCGACTAGCTGACCTGCGTCCATGGATCTAGGAGACCTCAGGTTTGTATTCTTTAAACAGATCAGAGATGCGTTCTGGGCCAAAACCGTTCAGTGATTCATAGATGAGTAGCAGCACTTTGAGAACCATTCTTTAACTATCTGGAAACCAGTGTAGAGACTTGCTCTGCTCTCCTGGTCCTGGTTAAAACGTTCTGAATGAGCTGCAGCTGGTCTTTCTGGGAAGCCCAGTTAAGAGAGCCTTACAGAAGCCCACCCTGCTGGAGGTAAAAGCATGGAGGAGTTTCTCTAGGTCTTGTTGGGACACCGAACCCCTGATTCTGGCTATGTTTTTAAGATGATAGTAGAACTTCAGCTGGACGAAGAGTCCACTATCAGTCTGATGGTGTTCTAAAAGCACTTTTCTCTGGCAACATTCCCATAACTTTGCCTAACGTTACTAGCTGGGACGTCAGTATCAATCAAATGTGACAGAACCTGAATAACTTCATAGCAGTTTACCAGCAGTTAAATGATTAACAGTGTCCAAATACTTTTGGGGGGGGCCACCGTATGGAGGGATGGAGGAATCTGTGTGAGTGTCTGTGGTGGGGGTCAGGTGGGTTTGGGTGTGTGGTTGGTGGTTAGTGGTTCTTTGAGCAGTAGCAGCTGCGTGTAATTGAATATTATTGATTACAGTGAAGGTCACAGGAGAGAGATTCATATATATTACATTGAGGGGGTGGGGGTGGGCGGGTGGGCTGTGGAGGAAGAGCTGGAGATGAACCAGCTGAGTACACTAGTGTTCAAGTTTCCAAGAACTGTTTTCATTTACCAGTTTTCACAAAAACATTCTTTGCCGATTTCTGTACAAAATGATTCTGTTATAATGCTATAATTCTAAACTTCAGCGATTTCAGATCATTTGTAGGAAGCTGTAAATAAACATGAAGAAATGTCAGATGTCTCCTGAACGATGAACAGAGCAGTAGAAGCCAAAATGAGCGAGAGATCTGTCTCACATCGAGAATGAAGCTCTGATAAAATGAATACCCAGAACTGATCATATTTCAGAAGTAGAGATCAGATCTCAAGGCAGATAACTTATCTAATAACATTATTATTTTTTGTTAATTACAGTATATCACTGGGTTTATACACTTCTTGCTTACAGAATTCTCGAAATATTGAATTAAACATATAAACACACTTTGGTGAAAAGTTCATAATATTTAAATCCACATTGCATAGTTTATTATTGTTTATGACATCAAATTGTTACTATGGTAAGTAAAATGTAACCTTGTAATGTTAGTGTAAGCAAATAGAAACAGGAGGAGAATTAAAGGAAACCTCAACATAAAAGGGAGGTGTCTTAGTAAAATGATGGGTCACCATGAGCCGCCAGATCAGCGATAGATTCTACAGGAACTAGAGCTTGAAATGTTTGTCTGGCTGCTCATGTGGGTTCAGACGGGTTCAGACGGGTTCAGACGGGTTCAGAAGGGGTTCAGACCTCATTTCTCAAATGTGTTGGGTTGGATTTCCCACTTTTAACAATGTTTGAGATGTTCAGAAGCATTATTTTAAGACTAAATTTGGTTTTAACAAATTTGTTTGTAAAATAATACAGGTTTGGAATTGAAACATGATCCTGTGGTTCACGTCAGGTCGGATTCTGACAGAATTTTGTCGGGCTTGGGTCGGGTCAGGTACGAACTCGAAAGTGATGTAGTTCAGGTCGGGTCAGGTACGGACTCGAAACGTGATGATGTAGTTCAGGTTGGGTCAGGTACGGACTCGAAACGTGATGATGTAGTTCAGGTCGGGTCAGGTACGGACTCGAAACGTGATGATGTAGTTCAGGTCGGGTCAGATACGGACTCGAAAAGTGATGATGTAGTTCAGGTTGGGTCAGGTACGGACTTGAAACGTGATGTAGTTCAGGTCGGGTCAGTAGGACTCGAAACGTGATGTAGTTCAGGTCGGGTCAGATACGGACTCGAAACGTGATGATGTAGTTCAGGTCGGGTCAGGTACGGACTCGAAACGTGATGATGTAGTTCAGGTCGGGTCAGGTACGGACTCGAAACGTGATGATGTAGTTCAGGTCGGGTCAGGTACGGACTCGAAACGTGATGATGTAGTTCAGGTCGGGTCAGGTACGAACTCGAAACGTGATGATGTGGTACTGATTTGGTACTTGCGGTATTTTTAATCTAAATATTTTGACTGAATTGAGTTGTTGGTCTTTAAATGTTAAAGCGCTACAAACACAGAGAACAGTTCTGTTTCATGCATTTTCAGAGAAACAATGTTACCATAAGGAACCCTTCAGAAGAAATGCTTTGAGTTCTTGCACATCAAACAATCACTTAAAACTAGAATTAACAGTTAAAATCATGCTAAAACATAAAAAATGAATAATGCAGTTTTCAAATAATCAAAACTGATGACACTAGTAAAATATAATGCATGCTGACTGCTACATGGCATAATTCACTGGACTGGACTTGTACTCAGTAATACTGCATACTTGTTAAATACTAAAGTTGGAATTACAAAATAGACAAAAACACAAAAATATTTCTAAATAAAAATAATTTAAAATATAAAAAAGTTACACTTCAGT